CTCCTCTCCTTTCAGTGAGGGAGGTTCAGCGGTTCCTAAGCTATAGGAGGTTATAAAGGAAGTTTGAAACCTCCTTTCCTATCATCTAGAGCGGACCGCACTTATCATGGCTGCTACTGAGGGACTTCCGGGTCATTTCCCTCCGTTAGGAAGGTTCCTAAACGAAATGTACTATTCGACTGCAACCCCGGTGTAATTCAAATGTACCGCTGCGCGCAGCACAGACACACGCAGACACACAGCTGCTGCCCAGCCGCAGCACCGGAAATGGAACTGCTGGGAGAAAAACTGACTCACAGATGTAACGTTATCTTTGATAATATTTCCTCTCGTTAATTTTCGTCAACGATATTGCATGTTGATTTCGTTACAGTTATTGTTTACTGCCGTCTCGTCATCGTCTCGTTATAGTCATGGAAAAAAAGGTCGTTGACGAACATATTTTGTCATAGTTTTAGTTCAAGGAATGCACCGTGTCTTTCAAGTAGCTCTATAGCCCCCTCCACGAGGTATGGTCAGGTATGTTATGTATGCTACTGTAGCAGCAACACGCGGAGTTAAGTAAATTATACAGACATGGGTTAATGATTAGAGATAACTGAGTTATTTATTTTGTTTATGTTTCAGCTATTCTGTTTACAGTTCTTTCATCAGATTATTTAATACGATTTGTTAAAAAGTTTATTTATTTAATTTAAATTAAAAAGCAATGTTCATTTTGTTAACAATTTGTTTAGTTAATTGACCTTTTTTTCCCAAAAGAACCGATAAGAGTATTGTTAAAGGACCGATCGATAAGCAGTATCGATTAAAGTAGTAGTACAGTTAAAACCTTAACGATCCGAATAGTCGATTAATCGTTTCATTAATCGATAGATTAATCAATTATCAAATAAATCGTTTGTTGCAGCCCTTCTGTTAGGTCAATTAGTAGGTCTGAGTAATTGCCAGAATAAATTAACAGGCCTCCCGACTCCAACAATGTAATGCTCATTTTAAATAGTGAAGTTAAAAGCTTTCGTATGAAATATCAGAAAAGCTGAGGATTTCAGAAAGTAGTTGAAGTATTGTATTAAAAAAAAAACAGCAGCTACATGAACTAATTACTGATTTCCCAGAGTTAAAGATCAACAGCTGTGTGCATTGCTGCTGATTGTTTGCAAGGCATGTTGGTGACCTTACATGCTGTACGGATGTAGATTGTAGTTGTGGTTGCATTAGATCATTGTGAATGAAGAAGTTTCGTTGTAGACAAAAAGTTGACAAAATATTCTCTGAAAAAGAAGACAAATGCCAAAGGTAAGACACTTTCATTTTTAATTTTATGTCAATATGCAGCATTATTACATTACATTTAGCTGACGCTTTTATGCATTCGACCAAGAAGATACAAACTTGAAGAAAACAGAATCAGGTTTCATAGAGCCAAAACATTTCAAGTGCTACTCAACTGGCTTTAGATAAGGCAGTCCTTTGTTAGTATATAAGTGCTTTGATAGTAATTCTATTGCTCGAAGTGGAGTCGAAAGAGATGAGATTTCAGTCTGCGCCGGAAGATGTGTGCATCACACATGGAAAATATGTTGTTGATTCACTAAAGGCACAGTGATGAAGCCCAAGAAGATATTGATTTACAGTAAACTCCAGTTAACCTGTTATTGTATCAAACATGAGTATTGTATTTGTTGCACTGCTTAACTTGTGCACGTTACTTAGTCATTTATGCAGATTTTTTTTGTCCTTCCACCATCTTAGTAAGGAGCAGTTGTCTGACAGTGATATACTGATGAAATACAAAACATAATGATTAACGTGGAGCTGGTGAATGTGTCTCTTCCAGCTCTTCTTCACCTTCACTGCGGGAACATTAAGCTTCATGTCGGCGTTGACAGTGCAGCAGCAGCAACAATGAATTTTGACAGCCTACTCTCGGAAATAAATGGATTTGGAACATTTCAAATCCGCCTGGTGTTGATTCAGGCCTTGTCTCGAGTCACGCTGCCCTGCCACTTTTTGCTGAATAACTTCATGGCAGCGGTTCCCGATCACCACTGCAACGTCCTGGACGATGGAGGCCTCTTCGGGAACTTAACGCAGGAACAGAAACTATCTTTTGGGATTCCAGCGGAGCCGGACGGGACCCCGAGCTCCTGCCAGATGTTTACAAAACCCCAATATGAACATCTGGCAGGTTTCAACAGCAGCGACGAGGCTTTCACTGTCCAGTGTCAGAACGGATGGGTGTACGACAACAGCACATATCAATCCACTTTGGCCACAGAGGTAAGTGTCGCCAAATGACAGTACTCCTTCATGTTATACATAATAATAATAATAATAATAATGCATTTTATTTATAGAGCACTTTTCTTGAAACTGAAAGATGTGAGAAGAGTACAAATTAGAGTCCTATGAGGAGGAAGAAGTGGACAAGTAGCCTATAGGGTCATTCATGAATTGCTTACCTCACTGGTCCCCTGTTGATTATATTATATTATATTTATATATATTTTCTTTTTTTAATCGTTTATTTGGCAGGGACAATGCACTGTAATGAACACTTAAAACATTCAAATGTATCATGCGTAACAGTGCCAGATTTAGCTTTGAGCTTATTTCCATCCGCAGTCCCTCACATCAAAACATTTAAGAAGATTACATTTTACAAACATAGCAAAAACAAAATACATGATATGCAGAACGTGCAAGAGAGCAAGAGCAGCAGACACAAGTATTTATGACATGGTAATACAATCTAGCAGCTACGACATATAAAATGCAGGAGGAGATACAAGAGCTCTACCTAAAGTGCAAGAGGAGATACCCCTGTGTTAAAGTGCATTTAGCGTCTGTTTGTTTCTCAACCATTCTTTGAGTTGACCTTTAAAACTATTGAGTGTGGGACAATCCCGTATCTCAGTTGGGAGGCTATTCCACAAAGAGCTGCCTTTAATGGAAAGTACATTTTGTCCGAAAGTGGTCCGCCTGCTGTGGACTTCACAGTCTCCTCTGGTTTCTGACCTAGTGCAGCGCCCAGTGTGTTTTTTGTGGATGAATTCCCCTAAGGGGGGGGGGGGCAGTCCAGTCCAGGGGGGGGGGGGGCAGTCCATGTAAACATTTATAAAAAAAACACATACTTTTAAAAGACTTAAAATTGTCAAAACTCAAGAAATTATGTTTTTCAAGGATGGTACAGTGGTATGAATGTGGCTTTCTGTCAAACACCTTGATAACCCTAATAATAATAATACACTTGATTTATATAGCACCTGTCATGCTTGACGCAGCCCAAAGTGCTTTACAGAGTATGACAAACGAGGAACATAATTCAAATGTGTTAAAACATGACGGTGATACTACTAAAAACTTAGGGGAGGCGTGTGGTGCAGTGGGTTGTGCGTTGGTGTTCGGATCAAGGGGTCACAGGTTCAAACCCCACTGCAGTCGGCATGTCGTTGACACTTCACCCCAAATTGCTAGTATTGAGTATTGAGTATGTAAGTGGCTTTGGATGAAAGCGTCTAACAAGTGACATGTCATGTTACATGTGCCAAGTGCAAGGACTGACTTAGCTTTTATGTGCGCAGCTCCTCTTGCTTGGAACAGTCTTCAAAAAGATTTGAAACTGAGCAAATTGGTTCCACTGCCTGTTTGTAAAGCTCGGATAGGTGCAATGATACTTGATACCTACTTGTCAATGTCTCTAGGTATGTAAATGTAGCCCTGTAAATATGATGTCCTTTTGTGTGATCTATTGTTTTCTGTTCATGTCGTAACCTACTTGCTGCCATGTTGGACAGCTCTCCCTTGAAAAAGAGATCGATGATCTCAATGCGTTAAATAAAGGTTTGAAAGAATTACAGAGTAAGAAAAATATACAGATAACCGTAAAGATACAAAATCTATAAACTGTCTGATATATGGCAGATGCTACGGTAGAAATTGATGGGATTTACGTTTTTACCCGCTTAATGTCTGACCAATTGTTAAACAGCATTTCCGTGAACATGACTTTAGTTCACAGTTTATATGTTGGGGGTGTGTCTGTGTGTGCAGCGACCTTAGAGACATTAAATACATCAGAATCTATATTTGATCAAAATAAGTCAAATATGGAAACAACAATATATATTTCTTGTCAAATGTCAGCATTCATTCTGGTTGAAGGTTTGAAATGAAATGCATAGGTTACAATCATTACATCAAGTGAACCCACCATGATATTTCAACATGTATATTTTCTACTTTTTGAATGTTATTTTATTTCTATTTGAGATGTGTAGATTTTGAATTGGTTATTTCTAGTCTTTTAATGTCTCTAATGTGAAATGCCTTGTCTTTTTATGCTGCTGCAACGCAAAATAATCCCAAATTGGGATCAATAAAGTACTTCTTATCCTATCTTATGATGCTAGTACCTACTACCAAAATACCTTACTGATGCTTTTAATGTTTCCTCTGCAGTGGGATCTGGTGTGCAGCAGGAAGGGGCTGAACAAGGCAACAGCCACCATCTTTTTTATCGGTGTGATGCTCGGAGCACCGTTATTTGGGTTCCTGAGTGACAGGTAGGCAGAGGTGGAAAGTAAAAATATCACTCGTCACCGGCTTGAGATTCAATCTCAGGATCCATGTATTTCTGATCCTTTCAAGAATGGAAGTAGTCATCACATCAACTAGTTCCTGAGCAGTGTCCTTCACATGCTGATACACAAGAGAGGGAGTTACACAGTCACAACATGGAGGAATAACGGGTCTTGTAGGTATTCATACATCCTGCCATGTACAAAATTCTGAGTTTTTTTCTCAAAATGTTGGCTTTTTCTCAAAATTATGACTTTTTTTTTTCTTTCTCAAATGATCAAAATTGTGGCTTTCTCTCAAATTCTCAAAATTATGACTTGAGCTTGAATCTCAGGATCCATGTATCTGTGATCCTCTCCAGAATGGAAGCAGTCATCACATACAGAGCATCAACTAGTTCCTGAACAGTGTCTGTCATTACCCGATCCGTCCCCCTGCCCGATCTGTACTGCGCATGTGCGAGATGGTCCGCCATATTGGAGAACTCCGGACCCCAGGAAGGACACTTGACACAGTGGCTTTTGGCAAAGCTCAAAAAGAAAACTCGAGAGGGATGAGTTATTGTTAATACAACGTGACTTCACTATTATTTAACAACTCTTTTTATTGGGCCAGCCATATGCCATACATTCACAGTAAATATTTATTCAGTATGATGGCTGTCTAACAGAAGTTAAATCCATTTCTCACTTATTCTGACAATGTACTTAACCCCAAATAAAAGAACCCAATAAAAAGAGTTGTTAAATAATAGTGA